GTGAAAGATAATAGTATACAAGGAAAAACTCGTAGTTTAAAAACAAGTTTTTTTTCAAAGAATTAGTACCGAAACGACAGCGAAAAAAACATGTTCATTGAGAATATAAAATGTTCAGAAAACTTTGCAACGAAAGACAAATGAATTTGCAGTCAACAAGCACTTACTACTACCAAGGAAATGAGGTTTTGTGGTTGTAATATCTAGCTTTAAAAGCGTTTTCAGTCAGACCAACGTATGTTTAAGGTGGACTATTGTCGTTGGTAGAAACTGTAGCTTGATATACAATTGCTTCGACCAAACACTTTTTGGACCTGGGCACTCCTCTTTCTTTCTACAGTTACATTTGCTTTCTTCGCTCGTTGTGGCAGTTTGTGACAGTTTGGTCTTGTTCTGTCCGTGAATGGTTTGTTTGATATTAGGCATGCAACTGTAGCATATTTTAACAGTGTGGCGGCTGAATATTTTGTGTAGGGGGTGGCCTATCGGGAATTCATCATCGATGATATTCCAATATTTGTGATATGTTTGTCCAATATTTGTTGATACATTTTTACTAAATGGTGGATTGTACCAAATGATATTACGTCTTCGATTTCTGCTTCGAGGGGTTGTATGATTAAGTGGTTGCTTGTACTTTAACTGGTGTTTATAACCACTATTCTGAAGTTCTTGCTGGTATTGTTGCGAGGCTTGTTGAAATGATTCCTCATCGGATGATATTTGAGTTAGGCGTTTGTCGATAGACAGTGGGATATTGCGCAGGATATTAGGCGGGTGATTAGATTTCTTGTGCACGTGAAGGGGTATATTATTAGGTTTGGCGTATGGTTGATATTTCCCGGTTGACAAATTAATGGTAACGTCAAGACAATTGACTATTTTTTTGTTAGCTTCAATTGTGATTTCAAGTCCTAAAACATACGTTGGTCTGACTGAAAACGCTTTTAAAACTAGATATTACAACCACAAAACCTCATTTACTTTGTACGAGAAAAGGAACTCCACTAACTTAGTAAATATGTCTAGCAGTTAAAGCGCAAAGGATTTGAAATTCATATTAGATAGCAAACCTTGAAACGGGCCAAACCCTACAGCCCTGCATGCTTCTAATAGATGTAATCTCTGCCTGTGGGAAAAATACTTTATTATATGTAAACCTGAACTGGCTACTTTGAACAAACGTAACGAATTAGTGTCTTCGTGCAGACATGCGAAAAAATTTCTTTTAGCTAACATTTAAAGGGCATGCACTCGAGACAGGCATATTTTTGTTTTAATTTTAAATATACCGCGCAATCTTAATAGCTTGGCGTTATGCTGATGTGTTGTTAATATACTTCCGCGTCCTGTCAATTTTATCAAGTAACAAAATAATTGCTTTGCGTGCTTTGTAAATAGGATTAATTTAAAGCTTTCATCCACTTGTACATAAATACTATAGGTTTTTTGCTGTAGTCATAAGGCTAATTTATCTAATGAGTGCCACATCTTGTGGTACGAAACTAATAGTAATAAAGATGCCTAGTGGAATTTGTTGAGTCGTTGCACTTATTTTATATATACATATATATATATATATATATATATATATATATATATTATATATATATATTATATATATATATATATATATATATATATATATATATATATATATATATATATATATAACCAACAATGAGACGATGGATGTGGGACGCATGAATATATATACGACAAGAACGCCATTCAACCTAATGGCGTTCTTGTCGTATATATATTCATGCGTCCCACATCCATCGTCTCATTGTTGGTTGTATAAATACTTTTCGGATGAAAAGCTCACTATCAGCTACACTGCGCTGACGAGCCCCAAAAGGGCGAAACAGCTGTCCGCAGTTGCTGGTAGTGAGCTTGGGGCACAATTGCCTATAGGCCTTTGCGCTGATTTAAATCTGTGACATGCAGAGATCATGCGTATTAGGTTGAATGGTGTTCTTGTCGTATATATAATTTATGTGTCCCACATCCATCATCTCATTGTTGGTTGTATATATATATATATATATATATATATATATATATATATATATATATATATATATATATATATATATATAATTCGGTAGTTGCCCAAATTTGGAGTTATGACATCTCCATTGAATAATGAAAACACATATACGACATTATGACGTCACACTAATTTATCCTGTTTATATGCCAAAAGCGGTAAAAAATAAATGGCTTCCTCAAAGGAAAGGTTCGCCGACCTTGGGGAAGCTGAAATCAAAAATTGCAGGAAGAAAAAGATTCAGTAAACACAAAAAAAAACTACAAAAGCAAGCAAAGCGATTTTTGAAGAGTATCTACGAGAAAAGATGCTTGACCATCCAGAGAATAGCGAAGAACTTGCTTCGGTTCTCAAAAGCTTTTATGCTGAAGTGAGAAAAAAAGATGGGTCAGAATACACAAAAAATTCGCTGTGTTCAATAAGTTTTGGACTGAACAGATACTTTAAGTCTGTTTTCAAGAACGATATTATCAAGGATAAAGAGTTTCAAGAAGCAAATGGCGTGTTCGAGGCTCAATGGGTATAATAGTTAACCTGCACCGTATAGCACGAGAACGAACGAATAGCCTCATTAACTGAACGACAGTCTCGTACTCATTCGTATGATAGACGTTTTCTACTGGCTATGAGATAAACACATTATAATACTCGTAAACTTTCGTTTGTTGTTTATATTAAATATATCAAGCCATATTGACCGTGACGGTAGCGGTGCCATGGAAAATACTGCAATCAATGCAGCAATAAATCTACATGCATTGGTCATTGCTGTTTACAGCGGTAGAAACAGCCAGTATATACAGTTTACCCGCGGCACGAAACACAAAGATGAAAGTACTATCAAAAGAAGCAAAGCTTTTCGTCGATTCGAGCAAACCAGAATTACAATCCTCGACAGAAATTGCTATGAAGCAAGAAACATCATGTCCGTGAGTGGTCACAGGAGTGAGAGCATTTTAAAGAGCTACACTAAAACCGGCGATTTAACGAAGAGCAAAATGGCTGGTTGTTTGTCTTCTGCAATTGATTCCAGCGAACATCACGTAGCTGAAATTCGTAACGCTATAAACCCTGACATGCATGTCTGCCCTGGCTACGGTAAGCAAAGATACTGAAATTGAGTCTCTTTTAACAAACTCACAAGAAGAATTAATCATGCGGGATTTCAGCTTCCAAACGACTACACAAACGTCAAAACAGTATAATCTTTACAACTGTAAAATTCACTTTCACGAGTAAAATGTTTATAAATGTTAAAGTTAATATTTAAATTCGTGTTAGAACAGTTGAAGAACACCTGTCTTGTTTTCTCGATAATTTGTATTTTTATATAAATATTCTGTAAATTTTCTCGATAATTTGTATTTTTATATAAATAATATTCTGTATATTTTCTCGATAACTTGTATTTTTATATAAATATTCTGTATATTTGAAGTGTAAATGGGGTCAGTAAAATCTGTAGCATTCTTTCAAACGCTTATATTCAGTTGAAATAAATTTGTTTGAATTAAGTTGTTTTATTTTGTAATATGACAACAGTTTTAGAAATCATTATTTTTCTGTGTTGGTGCAATGTACTCAGGTGAATATGATGCTAGTGATGTAACTCTGAGTGTATATCCACACCGGACAAGCTTGAAAAACATGCCTGACCACGGTGGGAATCGAACCTACGACCTTTCGAATACTAGCCCAATGCTCTGCCAACTGAGCTACTCGCTCGGTCTGGTCGGTTCGAGTAGGTCGTAGGTTCGATTCCCACCATAGGTCGTAGGTTCGATTCCCACCGGGGTCAGGCATATTTTTCAAGCTTGCCCGGTGTGGATATACACTCAGAGTAACATCACAAGCATCATAGTTTTGAAAATATTCTTTCCTAGTCAGTCTATTTTATATTTTATTGCTATTTTATAAAACATGTATACGTCCCGTTGCTGAATACGCGAACCCTGTCTATCACAACGCACTGCCACAGTACTTGTCAGATCTATTAGAAAGACTACAAAACCGGGCACTGCGCATTCTGTATCCTGATCTTTCCTACATCCGGGCCCAAGAGATATCCGGAATAACTTCTCTACGTAAAAGAAGAGAGGTGGCAAGTGAGCTTCTCTTCCAACAAGTTGTGCAGAACGAAAATCATAAACTACATAATCTGTTACCAACCAGAAACAATAGTAATATTGGTACTAGGCGAAAACGTTTCTTCCAATTACCAATTGTCAAAACAAACAGATTGAAGAATAGTTTTATAATGAATAATTCTTATAATTATTATTATTATTAACGTAAATAATAACAATAGATTCGACTATTCTTAGAAGTTGAACTAATGTACATTAGTAGTCTTAATATTAATATTTTAGAGTTTTTATAAAAATACCGAACAGAACTAATAAGTTAAATTTTAAAGTTTATATGATAGTTTGCTAGAATCAGTATTGTAAAAATGATCGTAATTCAGCTTTCGGGGCTGCAATGATCTATTTTAATAAAATATCTATCTGATTGGCTTATTCAGTCTTGCGAACACTATATATTATTTTTCCATTTTCAGTAGCTTGCGTGTTCTTGTGTAAGATGAAAATGTTCTAGAGTGTGTATTATATAATCTCCATACCCAGCGCATGGGGCAAGCAGAAAGATGTTGTCTGCCGCGACTGGGTCTCGAACCCACAAATTACGAATTAGTAGATCGATGCTCTATCTACTGAGCTACACGGTCAGGCGGATTTAAGACTGGAAATTATGAAATATATATACACACTCTAGAACATTTTCATCTTAACATATTACTGTAGTATTATGTAATATACTTAATTATGCATGCATATAACACTCTTGTATATAAAGCTGTACATCGTTAATGTAAGTATTATGTTATTAAATATAAGTTCGACTAACACTACATAGTGGCAGCGGTTTTAAAGTTTTAATTATGGCAATGGCGTACAAGCCGCCGGATTCCTTTGACTTTTCGAAAGGAGAAACATGGCCAAATTGGATACGACGATTCGAAAGATTTAGAACGCTAACAGAGCTCAACGAGAAAGAAGATATAACCCAAATAAACACTTTGATTTATACGATGGGCGACCAAGCGGAAGATATTCTGAATTCGTTTAAGTTGAATGAAACTCAGTTCAATAGGAGAGTACAAAACGAACACGAATCAGTCGAAGAATTTATAACCTCATTATACATGTTAGCTGAACACTGTGAGTACGGAAATTTACACGATCAAATGATCCGTGACCGCATTGTTGTCGGCTTAATTGATGCAAATGTATCGCAAAAGCTTCAACTTGACCCTGATTTAACGTTTAAGAAAGCACAAGATATTGTTTGAGAAACTGACGCCGTCAAAAAGCAGCAAAGTGAACTGAGAAACAAAGTTTATTTCCCAGACAATGGCGTAGATTCTATTCGTTCCGCAAAGCACAAGAAATCGTGGCGTGAACAGAACAACAAAGCTACAGGAAAATCAAACCAGAAAGATTTTCCTGGTAAACAAAGATGTTTTCGATATGGAAAAAACCCATTCCATAGCAGAGAAAAATGTCCTGCAAGAAATTCCACGTTATATAATTAACAAGTGTTCTAAAGTTGGACATTGGGCTAAAGTCTGCAGAACTAAAATGGTCGCGGAGGTGGTCAAAGAAAACAGTGATGATGATGATGAAAATGATGAATTCCTTGAAATATCATCCCAAAACAATGCTCAGTGGAAACAAAATCTAAAATTGGATGGACAAGTAGTTCAATTCAAGTTGGACACTGGAGCTGATGAAACTTGTATTCCTCTCCACGCGTATGAAAGCATGAAAACTAAGCTTTCTGCTCTGAAAAAGTCGAAGAAGAAGCTACGTTCTTGTGATGGAAAGAAATTAGATATTTATGGAATATTCGTTGCAACAATAGAAGCTGATAAGAAAATAACAGTACAAGATGTGTATGTTATCAAAGGTTTACATCAAGCTCTCTTGGGTGGGCCAGTTGTACGTGCTCTGAATTTACTCCAGAAAGCAAAGTTTGTCGAGACAGTAAAGACCTGCAGAGACGAAGCCTAGCCTAACAAAAAGTGGAAATGTCAGTCTCCAAAGCTATTCAAAGGGCTTGGAAGAATCAAGAATGAATACACAATCAAATTGAAATCAGATGCTAAACCCCATGCTCTGTACACGTCAAGAAAGATAGCACATCCTCGGTTACCTAAAGTTAAAAATGAACTGGATAGGATGGAGAAAATGGGTGTCATCTCGAAAATTGAAAGTCCCACAGAATGGTGCTCCCACATGGTAGTGGTACCAAAATAAAAAAGTGACATCAGAATTTGCCTTGATCCGTCCAAGTTAAATGAAAGCATTCTACGACAAGCGCACCCCCTACCTAGTGTCATTTATACATTGGCAAAGTTAGCTGGATCGACAGTGTTCTCGAAACTTGATTGTAACTCTGGTTTTTGGCAAATCCCATTATCAGAAGAATCTGCTCCCATAACTACATTCTTAACCCCATGGGGGAGATACAAATTCAATGTACTGCCTTTGGAATAACACCAGCGTCAGAACATTTTCAAAAACAGTTGGAAATGGTCTTGAAAGATTGTGAAGGGGTATGTATCGAGATTGATGATATTCTTGTTCATGGAAAGGATACTAAGGAGCATGATGAAAGATTGAAGAAAGTTCTTCAAAAGCTTGATGAAGCGAATGTTACGTTGAATGGCGACCAGTGTGAATTCTCAAAACCTGAAGTTCACTATCTGGGTCATGTGATAAACGCTACAGGAATCAGTGCAGATCCAGAAAAAGTTCGTGCCATCACAGAGATGTCATCGCCAAACAGCACACAAGAGGTGAGGCGGTTCTTAGGAATGTGCAACCAACTCAGTAAGTTCTCATCGGGATTAGCTGATAAGACTAATCCTATCCGAGGTTTATTGAGTGATAAAACTCACTGGAACTGGGGCATCCAGCAAGAAGAGGCTTTGAAAGAGATCAAGAAAATCCTCAGCAATACTCCTGTATTGGCTTTATACGATCCAAAAGCGGAGACAAAAATTCCCACAGATGCATCTTCATATGGTTTGGGTGCAATTTTAATGCAAAAACAAAGTAATCATGAATGGCAACCAGTCGCGTATGCTTCAAGAGCATTGTCATCAACAGAACAAAGATACGCACAAATTGAAAAAGAAGCACTGGGAATTATGTGGGGATGTGGGAAATTTTCTGAGCACATCTCTGGCATGAAGTTTCATATAGAAACAGATCACAAGCCATTGGTTCCGATATTTACGCAGAAAAGTCTCGAAGGATACAACGATTCCGAATGCGAATAATGCGATTCACGTATACAATCTCTCACGTGCAAGGAAAAGATTTGGTTTGTGCTGACACCTTGTCCCGTTGTCCAATAATGGATAAAGGAGATGAAGATATACACACTGAAGAGGCAAAAGGATTTCTTGATCAAGTATTTAAAGAGTTACCATGCACAGAAGATAGATTAAATGAGCTTAGAAGACGTCTCAAGCAAGATGAAGTGCGTGAACAAGTTATGAAGTACTGTACTTATGGATGGCCAGACAAGAATAATGTCAATGACGCTATGAAAGATTATGTAGGTGATTTAACGGTTCCAGACGGTCTACAACTTCATGGAAAAAGATTGGTGATCCCTTCATCAATGAGATTGGACATACTTAGTAAAATACATTCAGGACATCTCGGGATAACCAAGTGCCGAGAAAGAGCAAGAACGTCAGTGTGGTGGCCTGGTATGAGCAAACAAATTGATGATTTAGTTCGAAACTGTCATGAATGCGTTAAAGAAAGAAAGAATAAAGCTGAACCATTGATATCCTCTACTCTACCAGATAGACCACGGCAAAAACTTTGTACTGATCTGTTCCAGCTAAAGGGTAAGACATATCTTATAATCGCTGACTACTTTTCAGGATATCCCAAAATAGCTCTCTTAAACAGTATTACATCTACAAGTGTAATTACGCATATGAAGTCTTGTTTTGCTACACATGGAATTCCAGATCGTGTTATATCAGATAATGGTCCTCAATTTAGTTCAGTTGAATTTTCAAAGTTCTCCAGTTATGGATTCAAGCATCAGACAAGCAGTCCAAGATTTCCTCAAGCCAACGGTAAAATTGAACGGGCAGTGAAAACGGTGAAAAGTCTTCTTAAAAAGTCGAAAGATCCGTATATTTTTTAATGTCGTATCGAGACACTCCACTCGAGAATGGTTATAGTCCTGCTGAACTCTTATTTGGAAGAAAGATTCAAACGACTCTTCCAGTTGTATCAGAGCACTTTGTCCCTACTTGGCCTTATCTCGTAGCTGTCAGAGAAAAGAAAGAAAGAATAAAGAAACGACAGAAGAAGAATTACGATTTCCGTCATAAAGTGAAAACATTGCAGCAACTTGAACCTCATTGTCCAGTGTGGATTCCAGATCGTAAAGAGTCGGGTACAATTATCATTAGGTTTGAAACCCCTCCCTCGTATGTAGTTAAAACCCCAACAACAACTGTTTGACGAAATCGACGACATCTGATCGAAGACCCTTCAAAGAATAGTCGTGAAGAACCGCGAGAAGCCACATCAACTACATTAGGAACTGCAGTGCCAGAGAACAATTCAGGTTATTACACAAGATCAGGTAGACTATCTGCACCACCTGATAGACTGACATACTAGCATTAGTTATTAGATATTAATATTTAGTAATTGAACATTAGCATATCGTATTATCCGTTAAAATTTCATACTAAATTAAGAATTTTGTGCCCCGGGCTTTCATTTGAATGACAAGAAATTTCTATAGCAATAACGCGGAAATGGAGTACAGTTCTCTTTCTATTTACATATGACATAAAAGACTAATTCCCATGGCAAGATGTTTGGGCTTGCACGGCAAACCTATAGAATAATGAATGGATGGATGAATGAATGGATGAATGAATGAATGAATGAATAATGAATGAACGAATGAATGAATGAATGAATGAAGGATTCATTCATTACAGTATGTTCATGAGCTCCTAGCATTTCATGTGATCCAATCCAGCAAAACTGTTCGCCGAAACCAAAAGCGTTTTATATGTTCGTGCAAGGGCCTTGTACTCAGGTTAAAATTTATGATTGCATGGACATGTCCTACATGTACTCTAACAGAGCTACCATTTTATAGCCTATATATATATATATATATATATATATATATATATATATATATATATATATATATATATATATATATATATATATATATTGACAATAATATATAAAATTTAATTAACAACATCAGATAGTGATGTGTTATATCAAAGGGACGAAATTCTTCACAACCTACAGGAAAGAACCGCTCTAATTAAGATAGAGAATCTCAATACACAATTTATGATGTCAACTTTTAATGAGTTCGCCATAACGTACTGTGAAGACATATCCGCTGGACATGATAACATGCATTAAACGAAAGAGAACCAAAACAAACTGCTACTGACTGTATGTTTACCTCCCTGGTTTCCAAACTGAGTTTCATACAAAGATCGAAAGGATATTGTACAAGGATCGAAACAATTCGAAAGAATATTTAAAACAAGTACAAGGATCGAAAGGATATTGAAAACTTACAAGCTGAACTGGAGCAGTTATGGTCACAGGTCCCTGGAAGGAATAAAATAAGAAGCTTTTACTTGGCACTATGTATCAATCAGATAAATACCTGTCTCCTTCTGCATGGCTGGAGCAAGTAGAAAGTCTCCTGGGTTAAGGTCCCGCAAGTTGGGATGGAATCCTTGTGCTCACTGTGGTATGAACATCAATATTTTCGAACAACCAAATCCAACACTAGCCAGTATTATAGTGACCTTCTGAACGTTTTTGGTGAAGTAAGGAACAAGTTTATTATGGTCGTGATTTCAAATGCCCAAGAATCTTTCGGCATGAAAAAGCGTTGATTATCATCAACAAAATCGAAGTAAGTATGGCGGATTATACATAAAGTGCCCAAAACTAAGCTCCTTAGATTTGATTTAGACGAACTTAATGCCCATTTTGCTACGAACGCTAACAGAAAAATTTGACACGAATGCTACGTCCATGGATGAGCTATTATACTTTATTGAGAGTCTGCCGGCAAGTGAATTAACTTTCCCATTCATACTTTCAATCTATCTCCCCCAAAGAAGTTTACCTTGTTTTTACAATCGTTAAAGCAGTTCTGCAAGACATGATCAACTGCTAGCAAGATTAGTTAAAGAGGCTGCCGGACATATAACTGACCCATTAACCTCTAAAATTTACTCCTGTGATGAATGATCTGTTTTTCCTTATACATGGAAGATTGCTATAGGATTAGGCCCATTCTGATAAACTGGAAAATGAAGACCAGTTTACACTAGTGCCAAAATTGCCTAATCTTTCGAATGTTTTCGAGAAACTGATAGCAAAGCAAATGGCCTAGTATGCTGAGAATGAGGCTATTCTTTCTGAAAGTATTACTAGTCTCCATGAAGGCCACTCCGCGACGACGGTGCTAATGGGTATATATAGGAGACGATCTGATACGCGCGACGAAAAAGAAAGAGGTTACCTTAATGGTCCTTGCGGACTTCCCTAAGGCGGTCGGTACGGTGTGCTTTAAGGACGGAATAAGGAAGTTGTTCAATTCTGGACTACTCCGAACCTTTCTTATTTGGCTCAGCAACTATTTTGCTGATCGCCAACATTACGTCCAGATTGATGTCAGGAAATCCCCTCCAAATTTGGTATTAGGATTAGAATTGCTCAAGGGTCAACCTTAGGGCCGATGCTGTTTAACTTATGTATGTCGAATATTTAGCAGATATTTTAGGACCAGTAAATCACCATATTTTACAATTTTACCATCAAGTGCGAAGTTTTTAATATGCTGATGATATTCATCTATCAGGTGTAAATGCAGTACTGTTAACGCGTCATTAACCAGCTAGCCTTACTTTTTGATCAGAAGGTTCTAACCTAATACCCGATGCCAAGAATACTAACGCTCGTATTCTAAAAGCTCACTCACACTCGCATTCACACTCGCACTTACACTCACACTCATACACACAGTAATAGCTAAAGTTTTTGAGAAAATCGTTTTTAAACAACTTTATGAATATTTAAGTGATAATAACTTATTGTCACAAAATCAGTCGGAATTCAGACCTCGACACTCTACTCTGACGGCCTTACATAAAGATACTATGTTTTGGCTCAATAACATGGACAAAGGGAACTTGAACATAGCTGTTTATGTTGACCTTAAGAAAGCCTTCGATACTGTGGACCCAGGGCCGTCCTCAGGAAATTCTTCAGGGAGGGTTTAATAAGGTCAATTCAACCGACTGGTTCACAAAAAAATTTTTCCGGAACAAAAAATGTTTGTCAACCTCCCCCCCCCCCATCGCCAAAAAAATTTCGGTCAGTGTACCATTTTAGGGGTCCAAAAATTTTTCCGGACATACAAAAATTTTCCGGAACATTCAAAAATTTTCCGCACATAACAAATTTTCAACATTTTTTTACATTTTTTCAAAATTTTTACATTTTTCCTCAAAATTTTCCTAAAATTCCCACCACGTTTTTACACTTTGCGCCAAAAATATTTAACCCAGATAGCAGTTCTACCGACTGAATAGCAGTCCTACCGACTGAATAGCAGTCCTGCCGACTGAATACAATTACTGGGGGGGTGTCACACACCCCCCCAACCGCCCCCCCCCCCGTAGCTCCGGGCCTGTGTGGACCACACAATTTTGTTGAATAAATTGCAGTATTACGGCTTTATTGGTGACGAATTAAAATGGATCCAATCATACCTTTCTAATAGAAGCCAAAAATGGTTTTTAAATAGGGTCCTTTCAAATCCGGGTATAATAAAATGCGGTGTACCACAGGTATCGATACCAGGCCCGCTGCTGTCTCTGATCTTCATTAATGATCTTCTGGGCTGTCTCACTCATACAATACCAAATATGTATGCAGACGACACTAGCATGACTATGGGAAACGAAAATTTTAACATTATGGAAAACAGAATTAATGTACAAAATTTGTGCATTTGGCTGAGAGCCAATCATCTTACGCCTGTATTCAAAAAGCTCACTCACACTCACATTCAATGAGTGGACACTCATTCTCAATGAGTGCAACTCACCACTCAATAAGACTCCACTCACACTCACATAGTCTGATGCGACACTCACACTCCAACTATTCAAAGACACCACTCACACTCAAGTGAAGCTCCGATTTTGAGTAAAGTGTGAGTGAGAGGTACACGTCCCTTGAGCCGCACTCAGCAGTTAGACTCACCTTGTACTTGGTGATTCGAATATGGCGGAAAGGTGGTTAAGAAGGTTAGAATTACTGGACAATGTCGCAAGAGACAACAGAGACAGGAGGAGAACATATATTTTTGATTATGGGAAATATGACGAGGAGCGGTTTCGATGCAGATACCGGGTAACAGGTAACTAAGGCTGGATTTCGAGAGTTACTGGATATAATTAGGCCAGAAAGATCTGCACACAACGAGCGAGGAAATCCCATTCCCGCAGATATACAACTTTTATTGACGCTAAGGTTTTACGCCACGGGTACATTCCAGCTAGCATGCAGAGATTTGTGTGAGATTTCGCAGGCATCAGCAAGTCGAATTATAAAGCGAGTATCCGAAGCAATCGCACCGCGCTTAAGGAACAATTACATAACATTTCCTGAAGGTGATATTTTGGATCAACTTGGCCAGCTGGTAGCGTACATGATGCCAGAATATTCGACAATAGTCGCATATGTGCACAGTTTGAACGTGGTGATATCCAGGGTATATTACTTGGTGATAACGGTTATCCATGCCGTCAATATCTAATGACACCAGTAATTGATCGCAAACCCGACCGCAACGCAGATATAATGTTGCACAAATACGTACGTACACGAAACACGGATGTTTGGGACCAGTGATGTATGGAAAAGGCTATTTCCATGTCTTTCAACGACCCTTCGCACAAAATTGCAAACGTCCCTATAACTATAATTGTTGCTACAGCTGTGTTGTTCAACTTCATATCTATATGAACCAGAATATATTCTGGCCGATGAGGAAGAAGTAGATGACATGCATGCTGGAGACCGACCTTTGGGCAATGCGGTACGACAAGCCCTGATATTCTGATAATGCAACATTTTGCGCAAATTATGAATAACATATTCAATATGATAATGCAATTAATATATGTTGTATGGTTTTATAATTATTCATTTTATTTTCAAGAAGATCTTTGTGCTTTGGCACTAATTCAGTTAACAGCGACTTTTCCAATTGCGAAAAATATTATCTAGCTTCACCCATATTGTTCAGCAACGCTGTACGAATGCATTGACAAGTCTACAATATACCTTCTACATCAACATCAAACCCAAACTCCAGCAAGTCGCACTCGAGTGAGCTCTTTTGATACAAATCTAGCTAATATTTTCAAGGGTGAGTGCTCCCTCGTTGAGTGGACACTCACACTCATACTCCACTCTCACTCGCACTTCAACCCTACTTGAGTGCATCTCATTCGAGTCACACTCAAGTGTGAGTTTGAGTGAGCTTTTTGAATACAGGCGATAGTCTCAATATTGTCAAAAGCGATTACACGAACATTGGCTCAGTCCAACGAACTAGAAACTTAAGTAAGGAACCTTCTTTATTCATAGGAAATGTTAAACTGAAAAGAGTTAAACACAAGAAAATCCTAGGTGTTACTGTGGACGAAAATCTTAGCTGACATGAGCACATAAGTAATACTGTAAACAAGGTAAAGAGTGGCCTTAGTGTCTTGAGACAAATTCGTGATTTTGTTCCAGTAGACGCATTAAAGAAAGTATATATTATGCAATTATACAACCGCATTTCGACTATTGTTCATTGGTATGGGATAACTGCAATAAAGGTTTTAAAGAGAAACTTCAGAAATTACAAAATCGTGCTGGGCGGGTTATCACACGTTCTGGTTATGATATTAGATCTGCGGAAATTTTAGAAAAATTAGGCCGGCTTACGTTCGAACATAGGTGGCACTTGAATAAGGCATTATTAATGCATAAAATAGCAAATAATGATGCACCTATGTATCTAACATCACAATTTTCCAGAAGGAATCAAATGCATGACTACAATGTAAGGGGTAGCCAGGTGAATGTTTCCCTTCTAAAACTAGCACAAATTTTATGAAAAATAGTTTAGCATACAGTAGAGCGGTCACCTGGAATTCTCTAAGTGATGACATCAAATCAACCTAGGATGTCATTGCTTTCAAAACGAAGGTTTCTAATAATATACGAGATTCTCTTACGCCTGTATTCAAAAAGCTCACTCACACTCACACTCAATGAGTGGACACTCATTCTTAATGAGTGCAACTCACCATTCAATGAGTGTCCACTCACATAGTCTGATGCGACACTCACTCTCCAACTATTCAAAGACACCACTCACACTCAAGTGAACCTTCGATTTTGAGTAAAGTGTGAGTAAGAGGTAGACGTTCCTTGAGCCGCACTCAGTTAGACTCACCTTTGTACTTTGTGATTCAAATATGGTGGACAGGTGGTTAAGAAAGCCAGAATTACTGGACAGTGTCGCAAGGAACAACAGAGATAGGAGGAAACCATATTTTTTGATTATGGGAAATATGACGAGGAGCAGTTTCGATGCAGGTACCGGGTATAAACTAAGGCTGGATTTCGAAAGTTACTGGATATAACTAGGCCAGAAATATCTGCACAACACGACCGAGGAAAGCCCATTCCCGCAGATATTCAACTTTTGTTGACGCTCAGGTTTTTAAACTGCTTCGAATCCCTCTTCGTCATACCTGACTGGGAATTGAATTGTTCGGATAAAGCTTCCCACCTGTTAATTTTCTGTTGTATGGTTTTATAATCATACTTTTTATTTTCTACAAGATATTTGTGCTAATTCGCACTAATTTAGTTAAGAGCGACTTTTTCAATTGCGAAAAATATTGTCTACCTTCATCCATAATAATAATAATAATATGTATTTATTTAATCACGATAAGTTTGTTACAGGCAGTGCTAATGTGGTCGTGAAAATAGCAAAAATTTTAGCTAAACTAACTATAAAAACATATATTTATATATAATTATCTGAATATTGATCTTTAAATCTTTTCTTTAAAGTCTTGTAACTTGTGTATTCCAAACATCTTAAATCATTATTGAGAGAGTTCCATAGAACAGCTCCCTTGTATGACACAGACTTCTTCAAGTAGTCAGTTTTCGGTTTTGAATTCTTAAACAGTTCATTGTTCGAAAGTTAAACATTCTTTCTCTTTTCACAAATAATTTTTGAAACTGGGTGGAGAAATTTGATGATAACAGTTAAATACTAAACTTAGCAATTTTAAATCATAAAATAGTTTAATTAAGAGTTCTCCAGTTTGCAAGTCGTTTCACTTCAGTTGACGGAGTGTCCCAAGCACAACCCATATTAGTTTCATATTAATCTGACACTGCAATCGAGCAACGAAAAATTCGTTGGCTCGAGCGGGATTTGAACTCGCATCTTCGGGTATCTAGACCGCCGCTCTACCTATTGAGCTATCGAGTCAACAGGGATTGGTAGCGAGTCTTATCCAATTTAAGTGCACGAAATATTTTCGTAACGACTTAACGCTTGTCTTTGAGGACGCGCAGTGTTTCAATTCTATTTCAGAACCATCCTCAGAGATAGGAAAACTAGTTTCATATTAATCTGACACTGCAATCGAGCAACGAAAAATTCGTTGGCTCGAGCGGGATTTGAACTCGCATCTTCGGGTATCTAGATCGCCGCTCTACCTATTGAGCTATCGAGTCAACAGGGATTGGTAGCGAGTCTTATCCAATTTAAGTGCACGAAATATTTTCGTGACGACTTAACGCTTGTCTTTGAGGACAAGACAAGCGTTAAGTCGTCACGAAAATATTTCGTGCACTTAAATTGGATAAGACTCGCTACCAATCCCTGTTGACTCGATAGCTCAATAGGTAGAGCGGCGGTCTAGATACCCAAAGATGCGAGTTCAAATCCCGCTCAAGCCAACGAATTTTTCGTTGCTCGATTGCAGTGTCAGACTAATATGAAACTAGTTTTCCTATCTCTGAGGATGGTTCTGAAATATTTTGGTTTGTTCATTAAATATTTATACTAAAACAATTATTCGCTTTAGGCTCAGTGAATAAGGTGAATATTCACCAAGACGACGACTCGATGGTTATTCTCCGCTAATGACTTCGCCTACGGCGAATAATTGTTAATTGATTAATGTACCCTTTAGAGCAGGGTGGCGCAGTGGAAGCGTGCTGGGCCCATAACCCAGAGGTCAATGGATCGAGACCATTTCCTGCTATTATTTTTACGCCCAAACCTGCTTCATTCCGAAACAAAAAGTTTGGAAAATAATAACACCGTTAACATGACTTGCTCCCGTGGCCCAGTCGGTTAGTGCGTCGTACTTATAAGCAGTACTGAAGTATATGCGAAGGTCGAGGGTTCGATCCCCTCCGCGAGCAAGTTTTTAGCAATTTTTCCCTGACCAGTATTTGGAATCATTTACTGTCGATGCAATGGAAGTTTGGATAAAATATTGCATTAATTATTTTCCTCAAGTAGATCAATTCATACGAATTCAAATTTCTTTTTTCTTCCTCCGCGTTTCTTATTGGTCAATCGGTTCTGAAACGAAATCTAATTCATGGTTCATCTAAAAGTAACTCCCCCGGCGACTCGTCCAATTTTGGCTAAATTTCCAAGCATCACTCGTAGGCTATTTTAATAAAAAAAATTAAAATCCGTAATTGTACTCGCCATCGCATGATTACCTATACTAAACAGTCCTTATCAGAGTATTTACAGTAGTGTTTACAGTAATTACCAACGCAAATTCTTGAAGCTTTTACCTCTCTAACGACTTGTATCACTTTATTGGACGAAACTTTTTTCACATGCATGTGAGAAAATTGCATCGCTTTTCTGATTGGTTAATGTGCATTGCGAAACGAGTTTTTGCATAGGTAAATCCAGTGGGAAAACTCAGTATATACATAATAAAGTATTGTTTTCCATGTAGCACATAAAAATGAGATAGATCCAGCCATTACATATTACCGAAGGATCACTGGGTCACGACAGTTAAAGTACCCGTAACCCCAAAATTGATTTTCAGCTTACTAAAGATGCGGTACAGTCCGATCTGCGCATGTGCACAAAGGAGCCCTCTTTTTATTTACAAACAGTTTATTTAAGTTTTTATTTTATTTTTTGCAAAGCATGATTGTTGTGTCTTCATAATTTATTATACTCTAGAATCATGAAAATATAAATAGTTGTCGAATATAATTCAATATTTAGGATACCGAAATGTAAACAAAGCTACTAACTCTTGACGAAGGAGCTTCGCTCGAAACGTCGAGTTAATACGTTTCTGCTTGTTTTTTAAGGTAGTAATATAACCACTCAGCACAGCATTGGTTTACATACGGACTGTACCGCATCTTTAACACAATGCTACCACAATCATGGAAATAATATCCGTATACTTCGATCTTTAGAACGTATCTTGTCTGACTATTGTG